GGATGGGATGGGAGAGGCGTGGGCAGTGGGAACCCACACTCCCCAGGACCGGGGAGCTCCAGCCCAGGAGGTGTTGTATTCTCAAGGGAATCTCAGAAAGGAGGAAGCCAATGAACCCCCATCAGGCTCCTGACTTGTGTTAGGTGCTGTGCTTGGTGCTGGCATTCATGTCTCAGTTCTGATCCGTGAGAGAAGAGGACACGTCTACTAGGAGAGGGGAAATTCTGGGAAAGTCAGAAGAATAAAGGAAAAGGCTTGTTTTCTTTCCTCGAAATTGTCAGGTCTGATGTGATGTGATGCCTGGAACTGCAGCAGTTATGTTGTGGCCATGAGGAGGATCCGCAAAACAGAAGAATGAAAAGAACTTGGGCCCTTGATGACATTACTGAGCTGCTGAATTTAGCCATCTTTTGGCCACCTGACCTTATATCTTCTTATGATTACTTGAGAGAATACATTGTCTTTCTCTCAGTTGAATCCGGATTTTCTATCAGCTAAAATCATACAGATGCAAGCACAAATTTTTACCTCCATTTTACAGATGAAGAAAATGAAGCCTGGTATGAACCTAGAATGCCTTAATATGAATTTTCTAGGGGTGGTAGGATAGTTTTTGAGTGTTGGTGGCCTTTCCAAACGTGTCCACTTGCCATTTCTCTACAGAGGGCCTTGTGTTAGGGTGGGTGGAGCTGGGACTCAACCCAGGGCCACAGCTCTCAGCACCCTGAGGTCCTTAGTGTTGGAGCAGGGGTCGGATTGTGAGGTCAGAGGGTCCTGCTTGCTCTCAACACCACATGCAAAGGCACCCGCACTCCCTCAGATCTGCCCTTCCTCCATCTGGGCGGGGCTGCTGAGATCTGGAGACTGGCCACCAGGGGTCGCTGTGGTCACACCTGGGGGCCTCCGCAGAAGAGACCTGAGGGGAACTTGGAACTTGGGGACCTCGTCAGAAAGAAGCTTCCTGAGCTCCTCCTTAGGTGAGCCGAGTCTGTGAGACCCAGGAAATACCCCCATCCCCGAGAAGGGCAGAAGGTGGCCTAAACTCGCCTCTGGAGGGTCAAACTGCTGTGTGTCCTTGGACAAGTTGCCTCCTCTCTCTGAACCTCAGTTTTCTTTTTTCAAAATAGGGGTATTCACCCCCACTTCTCAATGGTGGGTTTCCTCACTCTCCCTGAGGGTCTTCCCATGCTTTGTGCCTCGCTTAAGGTGGTGGATGAAGACCAGTTAGGATGTGGCAGTCCCAGAAATAAACCCCATCATTGCAACTGGGGAAACTGAGGCCTGAAGAGAAGGAACTCAGTTTCCTCAAGTCTACTGGGGGAGGAGAATCGAAATTCAAAGTAGTTTCTACTGAACGCCTGCGGCTCTTGCACCCCTGTAAAGTCCAAAAATTGTAAGGTTGTCAGGTTCCCCCTGGTGGCTCACCTCTGTAATTGCAGCTACTCCGGAGGCTGAAGCAGGAGGATGGCAAGTCCAAGGCCAGCCTCAGCAAAGTAGTGAGACCCTGTCTTGAAATAAAAAGGGCTGGGGGTGTGGCTCAGTGGTAGAGCACCCTGGGTTCAATCCCCAGTACCAAAAGAAAAAAAAAGATACTGTAGCCTTGGTGAGTTGGGCTCATGTGTTGATCAGCCTCAGGTTGCAGTTGACAAAGAGGTGGCTAGAGGGACCATCACTTCGCCCAAGCCACATTGCTCATGGGGGCAGACTAGCTCGGTCTGACCACTAAGCCCCAGTGCCCTTGGGGAGGCCCTTCTCACTGTACTAATTCAGGGGCCACCTCTGCCTCTGATAGATCTAGAAATTGAGGCTCTGAGAGGTCCCCCAAGTTGTCCAGGGTCACGTGTGGTGGTGGTGGCGGGATGCCGAGGACAGTTTTGTTGCCTCCCCCCACCCCCCTGCCACTCTGGTAAGCTGGTGATGGTGGCGATTTAAAGAGAAAATTACCTGGCTGCTGTAGCCCCACCTTCCAGGGGGCGGGCGGGAGCGGGCCACGCCCCCTTGGAGCGGGCCACGCCCCTCAGAGACCTCCTGGCGGCTCAGAGGCCACGCAGCCCCGTGGGACCTCACGGGAGCTTGTGGGTCTCCGGCTTGGAGTTGAGGCCAAACGGGCGCTAGTTCAAGGTCTTGCTTTTTGGAGGTCAAGCTCAGGAGCCTGAACTTGTCCTGGCTTCCTGGGGGACAGGTCTAAGACATGGATCTGAGTCCAGAAAACAGGGAGCCACCCTGGAAAAGTGGGTGCCTGCTGACTCGGGTCCCTCCACTGCCCTCTGCTCCTGGGGCCCCCTCTGCTCTGGGGCAGCTCTGATTGCCAGAGAACGAGGCCATCTCCTGGTGGCCGAGTCGGGACATGTTAGGAATAGTGACGTTAGGTGCGGGCACCCCTGGCTACTGAGGCTATGAGCCCAGGAGGGTTCCCTGGGGAGGAGGACGTCAGGGTTGACACAGAAGGGTGCGGCTCCGAAGGAGGGGCGGGCCAGGGAGCCCCTTCATCAGCCTGATAGCGGGGTGCCCGGGCTGCGGACCCATGGGCCTGGCTTCTGGAGCTGAACCGGCCACGGGCAGGGGTCGTCTGCAGAGCGCGGCAATCGGGAGCTCAGGCTGGGAACTGGACAGGCCTGTGTCCTCTGCCAGCTGCCTCTCCGTCCTTGGGCCTCAGCTGGACAAAGTGACGGTCCTTCCTCAGCCCTCAGGACCTCGCGTGTAAAGCGCGACCATGCAGCATGCCGTGCTGAGTGACCAGAGGACTAGGTGCTGTTCAGCTCTGAGCCTGGTGCCCCGGCTGTTTGCACCAGCCGTGAGCTGTGCTGGTGACAGCAACAACGTCCTGCCCTGTAATCCCCAGGGACTGTAGAAATACCGGGCAGGACTAGACATGCTGGAACAGCACCCATGCCAGAGGGTTCAGATGGGGAGACTGAGGCACCCAGGGAGTCCATGTCGGGGCAGGTACAGACCCTGGCAGGGCCAGGAGGTTTTCCAAGATGTAAGCGGTGGGCTGCCCAGACCTTCGGATGCGAGGGACCTGGCCATGAGCTCGGCTGCGGTCTTGCCTCTGCCCTTCTCCAGGTGGGTTCTGGGTGAACCAGAGAACAAGCTGGCACTGGGCTGGCCCTGATGGTGGCCACAGGTCCTCTGTGTCCCCATGTGTAAATGGGTGGTTGTGAGATACAAATGAGTGGCTCATAAAGTCCCCTTGGCATCCGGGGCCGGTGCTAATGATGCACTATCATGCTCCTTCCCAGGTCCCCCCAGCTCTGCCTCTCGGCTGGGTGCTGGGCTGCCTCACTGACCGGCTCTCAAGGGCTTGGGTCTTACCCGAAGCGGCTGCTTCCTCCCAAAGCCTCAGTTTCCCCCTCCACGGAGGCTGGGCAGCTGCTGGAGAACCCAGGGTCTGGAGCCCAGTACCCTCCTGGGGACTGGCTCCCTGTGCTGCCAGACTTGGGGGCCTGGTCTTGGGGAGGTGGACGCTCCCTCCTCTGCATTGGACTTACCAGCTGGCCACAGGGCCCCGCACATAAGAGGGATGCCTGGCTTCAGACTGGGGGAGGTTCTGAGTTTTCCTGGCCCAGATGTTGGGCTGGTAAGCCTAGGGGAGAAGAGCCTGGAGAAGCTGAGGCAGGATGTGCAGACTTGCTGTGTGACCTTGGGCAGATCACTGCATGTCTCTGATCCTCAGCTTCTCACTCTCAGACACCTCCCCACTTGCAAGGTGGTTTTGAGGCTCCCCAAACTAGCTCCAGGCACGGCAGGTCAGCCCAGCTGGGGAGGACACAGCCCGCTTCACTCCCGAGGGCAGGAAGAAAGAGCAGCACAACCCAGACTCCAAAGCAAGCGGACGGCGCAGACACCATTCTGCGTTTTCCTCTTTTTTTCTTTCTCTTCATTTTTAAAACAATATAGTGCGGAGCGCACTTCTCACAGTAGAATATAATGGTCAATTTTAGTATAAAAAAAAAACATTCTCAGAGATTCGTAAATGCACTTAGTGCTTGAACAGGCCTTGGAGAGATACAGTACCGGGCCCGAGCGCCAGGAGGGCCGAGACATGTGGGACTTCAGGCCTTGGGGACTTACTGGGGACCCCTGCCTCCCTTCCCCCCATGATCGAGGGGGGCCAGGCCCTGGAGGCCAGTCTGCCAGAAAGGAGTCGGATGGGGTCTCCCAAGTACAATCAGTAGGCTGCCCCCTTGCTGGCTCCCAGGAAACTTCCCTCCAAAGAAGGTAAGTGGGGTCCCTCTGAGTGGGGTCTAAGCTTGCAGGCCCATTGCCAGCCCCCATGGTGCCTCTTCCTCAGGATGCAGAAAATTGTAATAAATATACAAATCTAAGATGCAGGTGGTGTCCTCGAAGGAGGTCCCCTGTGCAGTGTGCAGCTTGCACAACTGTGCCCAGCAGCCCTATAAGATGTATTGGAGGGAAGGGGGGTAGATGTCGGTCCAGGGTACAGAGAATGGTGTGTGTGTGTGTGTGTGTGGGGGGGGGGGGGGGGAATTTTTTTTAAAAAAAAATGGGGGGGCGGGGGGGGGGGGGAGAGACTGAGGGAGGAGGGACTGAGGTGGGGGTGACGGTAGGACTCTGGGGTCGGAGTGGTCTTCACCTGGATCAACTGGCAGGGGGACCCTTTGGACCCCATGACTTCCTAAAGGCCCCCCTTTGCTCCTTTTTCCGGGAGACTGTGGGAAGAGACTCTGGAGCACCCCATTTCCTCCTGCACCCCACCCTGGTCGTCTGAGCCCCTCTTCTAGAGACCCAGAAAGAACCATTCCTGCGTTGCGGCGGCTTCTCTCTCCCTGCCTCTGCCGGCCTAGGTGGAGGGAGGCATGGACATCCCGGCCCTCCCCGTGTCCTGGGGTAGCCGATGGGGTGGGGCCTCCGAGGTCATCCAGCCTCTCCCGGTGCGCGGCACCGAGGCTTCCCTGCGGGCTCGGCGGGCGCAGGGCCGGCCCCTGACCCCGCCCCTGACCCCGCCTGCAGCCTGCGTCCCCGCCCCGTCGGGCCGTCAGTCCGCGCCTGCGCCGGGCGGCCTTATCTGTAGACGGGCAGGCGGATGTGGGCGTGCTGGTGGTCGAGCAGCCGGGGCACGGCCACCGTCTCGTAGCCCTTGCCCAGCATCTGCTCCTTGATGCAGGGCGGCCGGATGTCGTTGATGAGGTACTCCAGGGACTGCAGGCTGCTGCTCAGCACCGACGTGTTGCACACGCTCTTGCTGGGCAGGCCCGAGAGGCCGTCGGCCGCGGGCCCCGCCAGCTCGCGCGCCGTCCCGGGCCCCAGCTCAGTCACCGCCACCGCCGCGGCGGCCGCCGGGTTGTAGCAGTCGCTGGTGGGGGTCACCAGCACGCTGTTCCAGGGGGCAGCAAAGTACTGGCCCACGGCGAAGCCGGCGGGCAGCCCCTCGTAGGCCCGCCCGCCGCACGCCTCGGGGGACTTGCTGGCCGCCGCGCTGCTGCTGCTGTAGGCGCGCAGGGGCTGCGGCGGCGGGGGCGGCTTCTGGGGCCACAGCAGGTAATCCAGGCCGCCGTCGGCGTAGCCTGCGGGCTTGGTGGCCCCCGCCAGGGTCAGGGCCGGCGTGGCTCCCTGGCCCAGCTCGGCGCCCTTGCGGCAGTCGGGCAGCCCCGCGGTGGCCGAGTAGGCCATGCTGGGGAAGCTGGGCACCGGGCCGTGCTTGGCCGGGCTGGGGTGGGGGACGGCCACACCCTGACAGGCGGCGGGTGCAGCGCCGGGGGCCTGGCACTGCTGGTTGAGCTGGTAGAGGATGCTGTGGATGGAGGGCAGGTTGGAGGGCGGCAGGGGCAGCCCGCGGCCGGGCAGGGGGATCACCGAGGCCGTGGTGGCCGCTGCGGGCAGGCTGGGTGGAGGGGCAGGCGCCTCGGGGGGCTTGGGGTAGGCGAGGGGCCCCAGGGTGCTGGGGGCTGGGTAGGGCGCAATGCCCACCTGCACGGTGGCAGGCGACAGCTTGGTCCGCTTGCCTTCTGCGCTCTTGAGCACGCCCTTGGCCGGCCCGGCGGGTGCGGCCCCGCTGGAGGAGGACACGGCGGCCTTGACGATGGCCAGCAGGCCCTGGTAGCCGCTGCTGTGCGGCGGGTAGGGGCTGTAGCGCTGGCCGCTGGTGTCGTAGCCGTTGACCGTGCGGCTGAGGTGCTTGTGCTGCGGCACCCGGATGTTGGTGGGGAAGATCTTGATGGACAGCGGGCTGTTGGCCACCTTCTCAGCGTAGGCGTCCAGCTCGGCCGGGCTCGGGTAGCGGGAGGAATGCATGGAGCTGGCCACCGTCTCACCTGTGGGGACAAAGGCACAGGTGAGGCCCAGAGACTGCACCCTCCTGCTGCCCACGACAGCTATGGGCCGCCCAGCCCCCTTGCCCTGTCTGTTCACTCCTTCCAAAATAAAAGCTGTGATGTACGGAAAGTGCAGGCCTCATGGGGTTGGTGGACTGTCACAAATGGAGCACACCCAGGTGACAGGCGGCACTGCGTCCCCTAAAGTCCCCAACCACACCCGAGTTTTCCTGAACCCTAACAGGACAGGCTGCTCATTTCTGGTTTCCACCCATGATGAGATGGAGCCCCACACCGCACCTGGTGTCGCTGGTGTCCTAGTGCCTGTGTCACTTAACGCTGTTGGTGAGATTCATCAGGGCCGCGTCACTCCTTCACTGCTATTAGCAGTGGGTGGGCACAACTGGCTCTGCCCCAGGGGAGTGGGTCATGATGGGTGGAGCTCCCCACCCCTCTAAAGCCCCTTTTGGGTCCCGAGACATCTCTGAGTGCAGCTCACAGCCTCTCTGGGGCCAAGGTAGTAGGGACAGGGGCTGCACAAGATGGAAAGACCCTGGGCTCTGGGGCTGGATGGGACTGTGTGGCCCTGGGCAAGCTGGCTGCCCAGCTGAGCCTCAGTTTCCCTGCCTGTGGAATGGGTCTGCAGGGTGACCTGGAGGAATGAGGTCACCACTCTGGACCTTGGTTTCCTCATCTGTAAGATAGCGCAATGCTATTATTAAGGCTACCTGTGAGGGGGCAGTTTTAGCGGAACCTGGTGCTGTTAATACCCCCTCCGCAGAGCAAGGGGCTCGTGCTGCCCTTCCAGGTGGCACAGGTGGGGCTGTTGCTGCAGACCCTGCCACTGTCGGCCTCCTCACTGATCCTCCCGGAGCCTCCCCTGCTTGCCAGCTCCCAGTTGATCTGAGTGAAATGCCTGCCCTGGAGGCGCGTAGGCTAAGGGAGTGGACCCCGCCAGGGGGGCAGGCAGCTCTCCAGAGGGAATGGATCCCAGTGAAGGGCTGAATCCACGGTGGCAGGGGTGAGGAGGGAGGGGAGTGACATGGCAGGGCAGAGGTCCAGAGGTGAGGGAGGACGTCCCGGGTGGGTACCGTAAGTAACCTAGGATGAGCGCAAAGGCCAGAGAAGGCTTGCGTGGGAGGAGGGACGGAGAGGTGCCAGGGAGGGGCTCTCACAGGGGGCAGCGGGTCTCGCTGCAGGGGTACACTGGTGACATCTGGAGACATGTCTGGTTGTCACAGCAGCGGGTGGAGGTGCTGCTGGCGTCTGGTGGGTAGACACACATCCCACAATGCACAGCACAGACCCCCACACACCAGGACCCCTCCAGCTCCAAATGTCAGCGGGAGCAGGATGGAGAAGCCCTGCCTGGGGGCAGCGGGCAGCCACGGGCGGAGTCCGGCAGCAGGAAGGGAGGAGGTGGCATCACACACCGTGCGGGGGCTGGGGCCATGTCCCTCTGTCCTAACCTGGGCAGGGCAGGTGAGCCCACGGTGGGTCCCCATCCCGACCCCGCCTGGGGCAGCCCCCTCCTAAGTGGCCTCAAATAAACTCAGTGTGGAGAATGGAAATGTCACTTTGGCCAACGGGGGAATCTTTCTCCGAGATTGGATTTAAACTACATTATACAAGCAATTTCATGGACACTTAGCGCCGCTCGGAGAGTCCCTCAAAAAAGGGACCCGTTCTTCATTTGCCAGCCATAAATCAGCAGTTGCTATAATGAGCACAAAAATGTCACTTTTATGCAATTTTACAGATGAACAAAACTGGTGAAATTAGCTGTGGTAACCCGACTAGAGTCAGCAAAACCAGTGCCGGGGAAAAAATTATATCTGTATGTATTTTCGTTCCTCTTAAAGTCTCTTCCCAAGCAAGTTTCTGCCGTTGTGGTGTGAAAACTCATTTGTCCTCACCATTATACTTCCATTTGGAGTTTATCTTGAGTATCCAATGAGCCACCAACTGTGAAAATGATTAAATCTACAAAATCTATCTAATGGATGGAATAAATTAGGTGTTTAAAACCTTAAGAAGGGGGAAGAAAGCGACGAGTGTTCCCGGCCTCCACTCATTCAAGGAAGGGGCCTCCTGCCCCCACCTGGCCAGCTGGGCTCCTGGAGGGTGGTGCGGACCCTCTGGCTCTTGTGGGAGATGACCGTGGTGCCAGGACATGGTGCCATTTGGCAGGCACATACAGATGCCAGCCTCTGTGCCCAGGGCTCTTCTTGGTGGCTCTTGTTTGGAGGACTTGGCAGCTCTGGGGGTCACAGATAGGAAACAGGTCCTGGCATTCGGGAACTGACCCCCGAGACCCACCACTGCCCAGTGATTCTGACCCCTGAATTCACACGCTCTTGTGGCACCCCGGACCCACGCCAAGCAGGGCTGGTGAACCGTGTGGCTGGAACACGTGGATGGGGGCGTGTGGCTGCCGGAGCTTGGTCACAAGAGATGTCGTGGCTGCCTCTGGCTCTGCCTGCATCACTTGCTTAGGGGGGAGCCTCTGTCACAAGCGGATGCTGGAGCAGCCTCTGGAGAAAGGGAGATGAGTGGAGGCCTCTGGTCTCCAGGTCAGAGGGCAGCGCTGGGTGACGTGCTGACCGTACCCTCCTGAGAGACGCCAAGCCACTCAAGGCAAGGGAGAGAGCAGAGGATGGCTGCTGTTTTAAGCCTCTGAGCTCTGGAGTCACCTGCCACACAGAAGAGATGACACCCAGGGTCTCCACTATACAGATGAGGCAAGGACACCAGGTTTCCCACACAGCCAGCAGAGCAGAGCTGGGACCCATGTCCTCTGTCCACTTTCTGGGTCACAGTCACCCTGCCCAACCCAGGCAGGGCCTACGGAGAGCTGGGGGACTCCTGAGCCTCACTCTTCTTCAATAGAATTAAAAGGACCAGAGTCAGCCCAGGGGCTGGCGGAGGCAGGAAGGTGACCCGCTGGAAGCCCCCCAGTCAGGCAGCTGTCACTGCTGCCCAGGCCCCTGCCCTGCCCTGCCCCTCTGGCGGCCTGGAGCAGAGTCCCGCCTGGACAGACCCCAGCGGTCCCCCACACCCTCCAGACTCGGGCTCCTGTGTCGGCTTGCTGTGCACCGCTGTGTCCCCAGTGCTCCCAGGAAGAAGCAGATGCTCAAAGACACCACAGTGAAGGAATGGCGAGGCCATGACCCGGTGCACCATCCCGCCGCTCCCTGTGCCCCAGCAGCTGTCCCCCAGGCCCCGCCTGCCATCTCCTGGTCCCCCTGCATGCGGGCAGCATACTGGGCCTCGGGGACCAGCACCCATCAAAGCCGATAAAACCCCCCTGCCTGGTGGAGCTGGCATCTGGGGGTGGGGGGCAGCAATCCATCCCGCCAACAGGGACCAAGCAGGAAGGACGAGTGACTCTTGCAGAGCGGAGCCTGGCGCCTCTGACTTGGCGCGGCTGCTGGAGTCCACTGAAGAGCCTAGAAGTGACGCGACTTCCACAGCCCGCTATAAAGCCCATGCGACTGGGGTGACGGCTGGAGGCAGACTAGAGGTGTGGGGACCTCGGGGCACTGTGGGGACCTGGGTGTGGACCCCATGGAGGAGCCCGGGCTGGGGAAGACCCAGGTCACAGGACCCAGCTGGTGATGGGGGAGGGGCCCCTCAGCCGGCCAGCAGCAGGGACTGGATGGGCACCAGAGTGAGCTTTCCCAGGCTCTGACGAGGTGGGGGATAGGTGGGTGGAGAGAGGAGTTGGTCTCCCTCCTTCCCTCTCCAAGGTGGAACCAGAACTTGAAGGAAACAGCCCCCGGCGTCAACAGGGGCCACCCGAGGAGCGGCAGAGCATCCCGAGGCGGAAGGGAATTTTATCTTTGCCTCTCTGTCATCACCAGTGGCCAGCTATGACCGCTATTGACTCAGGATGGGGGAGGTCCCCCTGGGTCCTGGGGGAGGGGATGCTCTTAACCTCTGCATCTGGCCCTCTTCCAAACATCCTCCTTAACCCTTGGCATCGAGCAGCCTGCTGGCCACTCCAGCTGCCCCTTCTGCCCAGGGCAGAGGAGAGGCTGTGGCAGATGGCCTTATGGCACCTGAGGGGTGGAGTGGCATGCAGGCTCCTAGTCACAGACCTGGTTCAAATCCCAGCTCAGCTACACACTTGCTGTGTGACCTCGGTCATGTGAATGCCCCTCTCTGAACCTCAGTTTTCTCTTAGTATGTAAAATGGGTCAGTGCTGCTGCTGACCTTGCAGGGGGGGGCTTCCTGGGGAGCTTAAAGGGCTGGCCTGGCTTGGTCCCTAGGCCCATGGGCACCGTGGGTGTTGCGGGTGTTGGTTTCACTGAAGCCGCCACCACCTTGGGCTGCCAGGCTCAGACCTCCCTCGGTGCCTCCTCCCTTTCAGGCCCCTGGAGGGCGCACTGTGACCTGGAGAGAAGGGGGACTGGGGTGTGCAGAAACCAAGGTGCCCGGCTGTGAACCAGGCCACGCCTCGTGCTGTCCCTCACCCTGACCGTCTCTGCCCACCGAGGCCCCCATTAAGGGCTTGTCAGGAAATGTAAAAGGCTGGCTGGAAGTGCCGCGAATCGTCACCGCCATTAAGTTAATGTTATGGGCCTTTTACAGGTGCGTTAAATAGACGCGGTTATTAACGAGTATATTAAGCCAATTAAAGCCAGCCCTCTGAGTGGGATTTAATGTCACCACAGGGAGACGGGAGGGGGCCTGGCTGCATGGCTGCCTGCTGGAGGCTGGGGGGGAGGGGGTGGGTGGCGACCACCGTGGTGAGAAGCTAAGCTCCGCTGGAGACCAGTCACCAGTTCTGCCACTTGCTGTGGGTCACCTTGGGCACGGGAGCCTCCAGTCCTCATCTGCAAGAAGGGACGAAGGGGTGGCCTTGTCACAGGGGATGCCGAATCACTGTGGTGCTCGATGCCCCCTGGAGCCCCTAACAGAACTGCTCATCCAGGGCGAGGTGGGACGCCAGCCCAGCATTCCTGGCCTCACTGTCCCCTGGGGACCGAGGCACCAG